TAATTAAATAAAATACTCAATCCTACTAATTATTTGGGTAAACACAGTGAAAGTTGCACAATAACTCCACCTGCATCTGCACTCCCTCAGATGCACAGAGAGTCAGCAGTGTCTGATCACAACGTCCCATTTTTCAGTCTCTTTGTAAAGTTAAGATGGCTTTTTGCTCCCCCCCCTCACATTTTGGAATTCCCCTTGTAAATATGTACAGTCTAAGTCCTGTATTATTCTTCTCTGAAGGTTGATAATTTAATAAAGCTCTGAAATCTTTTGCTCTCAGGACAGATCTGATTTTGTTTAAAAACAAAATAAAACTAAACAAGGTTTCCTTCTCTTAAAATGAGTATGCTATTAACTAGGTACTGGGTGCATCTACACGTGTGCTTTAATATACATTAGCCTATATTAATGCACATTAAAGCATCACCAAAAAGCCATGCTCTTTCACTAATGCACATTAAAATAGGAAAATGTGCATTGTTCTAGTACCTCCCAATGGAGATACTAGATTTAACATGCACTACCTAAAGCACATTAATGAATGTGTAAATACACCCACTGAATACTAGACAATATTTCTGAGCGTGGTTTTGATATTTAGAAAATTACCTCCTCTTGACCAAGACACACTTCTTAGCTTTTGTGTGACCACTGCACAATAAGCGTTTAACCTTCTATTAACACTTGTCCTTCCCCATATTCCTACTTAAAAGGACTTCTTTGCAATTTATTCTTTACTTACTAACATAATGACTTGCTCCATTTCCCTGCCCTACAATGCTCAATTCCTTTGCAGTTTGAGGATGGTCTCCTCTTTATCAAAAATCCCTTTTTACTTTCAGCAGCACTCATCACGGCACAACATGAATTCGCCTTCATAAGAGACATAAGTACAAGGAAACACCACTGGACAGCTTCAGTCAAAAGGGCATTTGGTAGATTACATAGCCCCTTCCTCTACTACTGGGACCCACAGTAAGTGCTTTACCCTGTAGGTCAAGCAGAGGCAATCTCACATACTTGAGTTGGGGAAGTGGCATACCTGAGTTTGGAAGAGTCAAGAATGGAGAAGGGGAAGAACAGGGACAGAGTCTTACTTTGTTTCTCTCCTTTTCATCCCTTTCAGACATCTCCAGCAAAACTAAAACATGCTTGTACCTCTCCTTTGGCAGGGAGAAGTGCAGAGTGCATCAGTTTACCAGCACCACAACAGCTGGTTACAATCAAGGGTTATTACCTTTATATTTCCATTGTCCCTTTCCATATCTAAAATCTGGGGCCCTTGAGTCTGTAGTTTTAAGCCTCTGTCTTATGACTGCATTTCTCTGGGAGCCATCGTGCGATAGTGATGTTGAAGAACGTCCCATAAAAGGATTCTCTTACTTTTTGAGAAAAGGCACAAAATTGGCCCGCAGGCTTTTCTACGAGCCTACTGAGTTATTGTGCATTCATCACTACCATTTTAAGTATTTCTCAAGAAAACAAACACTAAAAGTTCAAGCAGAGTTGCCTCTCTTGCTTCTCCCTCAACAGCTCCAGCCACTCCCCGATTAAAAATGGTAAATGGCATCTGTGTTTGAAAGAGTTAGTTAGCTGTGTTAGTCTGAAGCCAGCCAGAAGGCAGGGCAGGGTAGCACTTTAGAAATTAAATTTGTTTAATTTAATATACCGATTACTTAGGCTGTGCCCATGCTGTCTCCAAATTCCTCTTCTTTTAACTTTGTTTCAGTTGCAAGAGACAGGAGACTCTTGCACCCCTGTAGCGTTTATCATGGGTATGGTGTTTAAAAAAAGAAAGAAAAATAGCGAGGGGGAAGACAAAAATTGAATTAAGAAGCAAGCTCTTATGGTTTGGGCATGAGTCAGCAGATGGAGAATCTATTTGTAGTGTTCTTGTAAACTTCCTGCATACAATTGACCAACATAGTTATCATAACACTGCCCCACAGTATAAGAGAATTAATATTTGCTCACCTTACAGACCTGAGGAAGGCTTAATGCATTACAGGCAGCTGCTCTAAAACCAGCAGAGTAGTGTATTGTGACAGATGAAGCTGTTGATGCCTTTGGAGTCCCAGCAATCTGTTTTTTCCGCGGGGGCAGAAGCAAGCCTTTTCATTAGGTGGCTGTACAATGTCTGGCACTGCCTGACCCTTGATCAGGCCCTGCAGTCATACAAGTTATAAGCAATAAGAGACTGAGTGCACTTATGGGCTGCCACAGACCTCCCAGGTCATCACCTCCCCCTACCCCAACTGCATCAGACCTAGCTGGTTCTGAATTTCACGTGCAGCAACCCAGCGCATGCCTCCCCGCCCGTCTCCATGCCTGGGGATGGGGTGCAAGGCGGTGCTGGTTGCAGGGTCAGTACCTGTCCTTGATCAGGCCCTGCAGCCATTCAAGTTATAAATAATAAGAGACAGCATCCACTTAAGAGCTGCCACATACCTTCCTGGTCTCATCACCTCCGTCTACCCCAGAGGCATCAGGGCTGGATGGTTCTAAATTTCAGGTTCAACAGCACCAGCGCTGGCCCTTATCACCCCCGCCCTAGCCGTGGGGATGGTTGGGGTGGCGGGGAGAAGCTGTGCTAGGTACAGGCTTGATGCCTGGCCCTGATCAGGCTTTGCAGTGCAGGTTCTAGTTCAGAACTGCCACCCCCCGCCCTGCCCCCAGTCCTAGCCATGGAGATGGGAGGGGTGCCTGACCCTGAAGCCACTTAGGGCTGGGTGACTAGGGCATTTCAGGTGAGACAGGAAAGAATTGCCTTGCTCTACTTCTCTTCTTGCCACTATTAGGGAAGCTGCAAAAAAATTCATCAGATGTGCTGACAATCTTGAATTCACTAGGTGTGTTGAGAATCCTGAATTCTCAGAAGAATTCAAAAGGCCAGATGTCCACAGAAGATCTGGGATCCCGATACTATGCCACATTTAGAACCCTAATGATTCAGTCAAATCCAACATTTAATTTTAACCACTGTCCCAGATGTCTCTCACCAGCCAACTAACAGAGAGAGCCAATGTCCAACACGTTCACTAGGTTCTTGCAAAGTACATCAACATGAATCTACAACTCTGTCTCACTTTTTGCCCTCTTTAAATGGAGGTTCAGTAGCCTTTCTCCAGCTATTTTCAACTATGCTCACTAGGGTTGCCAACACTGACTGAAGCTATTCTGGGAGATTTTTTTTCTAACATGACAAATGTCATTATTTCAATTGTACTGTTCAACCTGTTCATGATATCTATCTCCCAGATTGCTTTCAGTAGTTGCTGGGAGATTGATGCCAATTCCTGTAGACTCTCAGCCAATCCAGGAGGGTTGGCAACCCTAATGCTCACTTTCAGTAACATTATAAATAACATCTTCGATAAGCCCCTGGAAGGACTGAAGTCCCCATGTGCTGGAAACACCCCAGTGTGCTGGAGCCAAAAAATAATCCCTGCCTTGAAAATTATACCATCAAAAAATCATGGCCAAAGAATGAAGCCTAGATACAATTTGCAACACAGAATATTTGCAATTCAGTCTCTTACCACTGAGCGAATCCTGCCCTGACCCCTGTTTGCCGGTCATTCTCTTTCCTGAGGTTTACTACAATTGCATCGTATGAATCTTGGATAATAATTATAACATATCCACGTTTATCTTGAATTCTGTTCTGTACTGCTATCTTTATGGACAAAGGTTATGCTTTATAAAGGAAACATTTGCAGATTAGTAATGTTGGGCCCCTCAAAAAAAGTGACCAAATATGAAGGAGTGTGTACTTCCCCCTCCCACGTTGTAAATTCTCTACTCCTCTCACGAACACATGCATGGGCAAGCAAACACTCTCAACCACTAAACCAGCCTTGTCCATAGTGAAAAGAAGGATAGCAGATATTCAGGTAACAAATTCTAGCTATGGCTCTGCATTCTTCCTCCAAAACTTTCCCCAACAGTACTTCTAGCATGTTGGGGAAACTTTTCTTCCAAGCGGAACAAAGTCCGTTGGGCACTCTGAAGTGGGGTTAGAATAAAGTAGAGGAAATATGACTACTAAATTCAAAGAACTGTCATCTTATACCCAGATACATTAGATTTAGATACCGAGTTCTTCTTTCTTCCTGTTTTTTTTTTAAACTGCCCACTGATTTAAGCTCTATTGATTAAATAATTACTCAACCTTTAAAAAAAAAAAAAAAAAAAATCACATCCAACTAGCAGATTTGATTTTAACTCGCAGTGAGTTCTAGAGCCATACTGCATACTTTGTGAAGCAGAATGCTGACCTCCACACTACAGCCATTCTACATACACCCACCCTGTAACGATACAGTCCTCAGTAAATCAATAACAATAAATTACGCATTGAAACGTATGTCAAAATTAATATAGGATAAAACTGCTTGTGCAAGCACATACAAGGACACAAACTGTGTGTTTTAAGAGGTGTGGCCCTCTAGAGCTTTACAAAAGACAGGGTGAGGCAAGAAATACTGATATGTGGTCTCTGTGCACTTGCAACGGGAAATGACACAACCCCTGTTCCTTCTGGAGAGTAGGATATTAGTAAAGCAGACACAGGAAGTAAATGGATTTCAGAATAAATATTGTGTTGGTCACACCTTGTTGCAAAACCAACTCTTTCTGCCTTGTAACCGACTCGGACAATTTGACAACAAAAGACATTCCAGCATGTCAGGCTGTCTAAACATGAATTTCCCCGTCTGTGAAACCTGCACCAAATCTTGAAGGGTCTCAAACCAGAACTTTCACAATCACTAACCTTTCTAAATTTTAAATTCAGTCAGTATAAATAACCCAAAACTTCAACAATAGGGATTTTCGTCTTTTTTTTTTTTTTTTTTTAATTACATGGACTCTTCATTTCTCCTCACAATTCTACCACAGCAATGCAACAATTTTTAACAATTTTCACTATCAGGTATTCAAGACACTTGCTCAATAATGGAAAAGTTTACCCCACTGGCTTGCAACAGAGAGGCTTGGTGGAGTGGAGTATGCCCTCAGACAGGCCCATGATTTTAAAAGGTTTTAAAACTTACCTCTCACAATCTATTTTCACTATTAAAATAAGCCCTTCCAACAATGGTTACAATAGTGTATGTGACCTGCTACAGGTGAGACAGCTTTAGCTCTTAAATAAAAACTCTTTAATTTTGAGAGTATACAGCCTGGTACTTTACTTGCCTCCAGGCTCACATGTTTGTCTAAATTTTCTTCTCAAGCATTTGGATATTATTAAGGATAATTAAAAAAATGTTTTAGATGAGATGCTTCTTTCAGTTTGCTCCACTGAAGCTGTTTTGTTTTTAAATAAGAGAGTTGACAGATAGCCAAGCTACAGCTATAAGGCAAAAATTTGGACTGAATAGGCAAAGACACTCAAGTGTAGTTAAAAGAGTGTTGCAATAGCTAAAGGTGGATAAAACATTAATGCTACCAACAACTGTGTTCAAATATGGTTGTGGACAGCATAGTTTAAATCCTGTGGTGGGCAGAGAAATAAATGGACCAGCTCCCTGAACATCTGCCCTTGCATATTCCTAGAAGAATTTTTCCTATATTCTGCCATTATTTGCAAGAAATGGAGCTGCAATTCACTAGATTCTAGTTCCATCTCATTTCATTATTACAACCTCAAACGTTACACATGCTCTTCTCTAGGGTCTATGAATTTTTTTAACTTTCCCCTGAAAGATTATTCTTTTTGGTGTTAAAACCACTGGATTAATCTTCAGTACTAGTATTTAACAGAGAAGGCTCAGAGGGGACTTGGTGACAGCCTATAAGTACGTAAGACCAGTGCACCAGGATCTGGGAGAACAGTTGTTCACCAGGGCTCCCCAAGGGATAACAAGGTCTAACGGCCACAAACTTCTGAAAGGCCCATTTAGACTGGACATAAGGACAAACTTCTTTATGGTCCGAGAGTCCAGGGTCTGGACCAGACTCCCCCCAGAGGTGGTGCAAGCACCTACTCTGGACTCATTCAAATGGTGTTTGGATGCTTATCTTGCGGGGGTCATTTGACCCCAGCAAACTTCCTGACTATGGCAAGGGGACTGGACTTGATCTTGTGAAGTCCCTTCCAGCCCCCAATGTCTATGAAAACTTCTGAAGACATTAAATACTCCAATACTCAGGGCTGCAACCGGGAGCAGGTTTGATAGTCCCTTTTTAGCTTCAAAGAGAAGCTTCTCCACATCCCAAATGCATAGATCTACTTGGCTTTGTGGATACTGAACAGACAAAATCCTGAAGAGCAACCCCTCTCCCCCCCAACCACCCCAGGCAATCAGACTACTAGGTCGCATCCCCACAAGCAGGAACATGCGGTTTGCAGAGCCTCAAAGCCTCGAGGCACCGCAAAACCCACGCAGCATTCATGCATCTGTTTACTGTGCTGCATTTTTGCAGTGTGGTGGCAAAATTAGGTAACGGGAAGTTTGTGGCAGAAAAAAGCAGGGCGGCACACGTGGCTGCAGCATGTGCCACCAGAAACTGGAGCCTGGCCAGCCAGAGCCACTTGCTGGCTGTCAGCCAGGCTCTGTGCACCCAGATCACCCCCAGGGTGCACCCCAGGAGGCCCCCAGGATCCCAGGTAAGGCTGCCGCAGCCAGTCTAGCTGCTCCCCCAGCCTCTCCTACACATCGAAGCACACATGCAGGAGCATGCCCAGGGACAACTAGTGTCAAAAACATGTGCTGGTACTATTTGTCCCTGGGGAAATGCACATTCCTGTTAGTGGGGAGCCCAAGAGGCCTACTGTGTGGAAGCACCTTTAGTCTTGGGGCCATAGCTGCTGTATATAAGGGGAAACTTAGGCAAGAAAGAATTGGTTTTAAACAGACAAGGTTCCTTGGGTGAATTTGATATCTTTTATTAGACCAACCCAAATGGTTGGAGAATAGTTATTAAGCAAGCTTTCGGGTTCAAAAACCCTTCGTCAGGCTCAGGAAGCTGCAGCAGTTGGTGTGTGCTCTTCCTGGATCTTCCTGGTTTTAAACAGTATTTCAGAACTGTAAGGGGCTGCCAATCATTTCATCCTCTGGTTTAATCTCTCACATTCAAAAACTGGAGGATGTTAAAGTTGGTTAATGGGGGGGGGGAATGGAGCAGAGGTGGGGGAAGGAAGGGGGATAACAGAGAAAGTTGCAGTAATTGATCATATAAGACCACATATATTCAAACAAGAGGGGGTCTAGTTTCATGTTAAATTTTCACAGTTGATGCGATGATAACTGAATAAGGAAACTTGACCCAGAATTGAGTTTTTATGAAATTCAGCCTCTTTATTAAAGCGGGTGGAAGGGGCATAAGGAATCTCAAAATATAAATGTTTCTGAACATAAACTTCCCCAAACAGGTTTACAACACAGACATTGCCCTATTGCATAAGAACCCGAAAGTGAAAACAACTGGAAAATGACAGTAAGTGGAAATGAAACTAAGGTTATTTGCATTGTCTAAACTGTGGAAAAATGCTCACTTTGATCATTAAGACATAGCAAAAAAATGTAAAAGAAACATTTACTGAATCTAAATTGATTTGAAATCCAAGTGATTAATAATTTTAGTCCATCGTGATTAAAAGTTTGGGTTTTTTTAAACCTATACAAGCCTCATCTGAAATAGCTTTTTCTGTCCAAAATTTCCCAGCACTGGTGCCACTTAGTTCCACTGGCATAAGTAGAAAAATAAAGACAGGACACTAAAAGACTGCTGGTGTTCATAGAATCACAGAAAATGAGGGTTGGAAGGGAACTCAGAGGTCATCTAGTCCAACCTCCGCTCAAAGCAGGACCAGCCCCAACTAGATCATCCCAGCCAAAGCTTTTAATTGGGTCTTGAAAACCTCCAAGGACAGAGCTTGCACCCTCTCCGGGTAACCTGTTCCAGTGCTTCACCACCCTCCTAATGAGAAAGTTCTTTCTAATCTCTAACCTAAACTTCCGTTGCTGCAACTTGAGACCACTGCTCCTTGTTCTGTCATCTGCCACCACTGAGAACAGTCCAGCTCCATCCTCCTTGGAACCACCCTTCAGATAGATGAAGGCTGCTATTAACTCCCCTCTTGGTCTTCTCTTCTCCAGACTAAATAAACCCAGTTCAGAGGGGCTAGATAAGAGCAGGGAAA